AGTGCCAGAGGACTGGGCATGGCAAGGATTGTCCTATTGTGAGCCAGCCCGGCCTGACCTCCACAGCTGGGAGGCAGCGGGCACAGCGGGAGGCTATGTGGCTGACTGATGGAGGAGGCACAAAGGGAAGAGCCAGGCGGGGGCCCAGGCACTGCCTTACAGAGTGCAGTCCACCTAGAGACACTGCCTCCACCACGGCTGCCCAGGGTCCTCCTGCATTGCGTGTCTTTTTCTCAGATGGCTGATTTCATCCAAGTATATCTGTTAGCAGCTCCTGAGAGTAAGGGGCTCATGCCTTCGTGATCATAGCTAAGTGGCTCCGTCACTGTGCTCTCTGTGACAACAGATAAGGAAGTCGTCATTGGCTCTGCTGTCTGAATTCAGAAGGGACTGGCTTCTGCTGTACAGTGATGGGGTGACAAGGACATGTGGGGAGTTTGTTGAGGGTGCATTCGTGGGACTACTTCAATGTCCCTTTGGGCATGTGCTTTATAGAAGGGACGGGACAGTTGCAGAAGGAGACCATGACTGAATGGCCACCTCGCCCATAGCTTTCCCCTGAGCCATTAGTTGAGCCAAGGAATTGAAGACAAAGGTAATAGCTCAGAAATTGAGCCTTGTCCCTTGGCTGTGTCATAAGGGGTTTGTGGTGACCTATTCCTTGGTATTAAGTCCTAGGGTGGAGAGATTCACCAAGACCCAAATCTAACTCCACGTGGACTCCAACACAGGGTAGGAGAAGACAGACAGGGGATGCCCAGGGATACCACACATGATCCTCTGCTGAGTGCTGTGGTTGGCACATCAGGAAGGGAGGCAGGTCAGTGTAAGCTTAGGGGACTGTCAGACAGGGTCCTGGACAGCATCTCACTTTGTTGCCCAGGCTAGTCCAAACTCACAGAAACCTTGCTGCCTCAGCCTCCTGAGATTTGGGCTTAAGTGTGTGAATGTTTCCCACTGGCGAAGTCTTGTCCTCTGAGCTCCCAGGTCTTTGTACTTGGCTACGGCTGACACTGAGCAGTGGCTTTGGTAAGGGGTTGATTAGTCAATTTTCCATAGCTATGGACAATCTCTCAACAGCCTCTCCACACTGACCAAGCCCTTGAGGTTTGTAGGGAACAGGATCCGGCAGAAATAACATTCTTTTCATAGGGCTCGCTGGACGGTTCTGCCCTGCTGGGGCTGTCCTGATGAAGGTAAATCATCTGAGGATATCATCCTAAAGTCTGGGAATGTTGTGTCACTGGCTGGAGTGGGCTACACACAGGAGACGCACTTCTGGAGAGGATTAACTCAGGGGAAGCCCTCCGTGGATGTGGGTGGCACCATCCTGTGAGCAGGAACCTGGGCTGGGGAAAAGAAGAAAGTGAGTAGAGCATCAGCTCCCATCTCTACTCACTTCCCGACTGACGGGATATGACCAGCCACTTCCCGACTGATGGAATGTGACCAGCCACTTCCCAGCTGATGCAATGTGACCAGCCACTTCCCGACTGACGGGATATGACCAGCCACTTCCCGACTGACGGGATATGACCAGCCACTTCCCGACTGATGCAATGTGACCAGCCACTTTCCGACTGACGGGATATGACCAGCCACTTCCCGACTGACGGGATATGACCAGCCACTTCCCGACTGATTCAATGTGACCAGCCACTTCCCAACTGATTCAATGTGACCA